CTGCATCTTTTTCGTCCGGCTCCCAAATGTTCTGTAAACAAACTATGCACATATAATCCCCGTATATCCACAAATTCCATACACTATACACTCGTCTACACTCGTCGTCGCCGCTACCGCTACCGCTACCGCTACCGATGCTGTTATTGCTGCCGTAGTCTACACTCGTGGCCGCCGCTACCGCGTCCGTCGTAGTCAACGCTCAACCGAAGTGGTACAGCGACGGAGCTGCGACGTCGTTTGCTGTTCCCCCCGTGTGTGCGTGTTGTTGTTCTTCCCGCGGGCGCGTGCGTGTTGTGGCCGTGCGCGTTGTTCCCGTGTGCGTTCTTGCTGGCGGCGGCATCCGTGCGCAGTCGTATCCGTGGCGGCCGTATAATACGTGTTGGGCCGTGTTGGTGCTTTCTCCCCATCGGTCCTTACCTGGCGATGCCTTTGATGGTGTGGTCGCTGCTTTGGCGGCGGCGTCTTGTGCAGCGGCAGTCTTCGCGATCACTGCGTCTAATTCTTCTTTCACGTGCGCGATTGCTTGTTGCATTTCATTCTCTATCGCGGCATCCTTTTTTTCGTGTGCGTCGTCCACATAAGGATCCGGGGGTGCCGCCCCACTTGACGCCTTTAAGGTGACCGCCTCCTGCTCCTGCTTCATTTTGCGCTTCACGTCGCCCAAAATTTTCGTAATATCCCCCTTCATTTGAGTCTTCAGTTCTTCGTCCTTCTTAGTTTCAGACTCGTCGTCCTTTATAACTCCTTCCACTTGCAGTTTTCCCTTTGTCTTGACGGTTCCTCCCCTACACCCATCGTGTATTTGTTCCTGTGCAAGTTTCTTCTGCATGCGTGCATTCTGCTGTAGCCATGTCTTCATCTGCTGCCTCATGGGCCAGTCCCCTAATTTTATATTCTTATACATACCCCGCTTACAATGGTGTTCCCCCAATGTGTCCTTTAACGCATCCCAAATTATCTGTGTTGTGTACCAGGCGTAGTATGTGCCCCACCAACCCTCGCATGCATATGTCCGGAGTATGTCTTGGTATATATTCGCTATTGTGCATCTCATTATTCCCTTTATTTCCTTATCCCTCCCTTCTATCTCCTGTGCGTTCTGCCTTACTTCTGGACTCCACGCATTTGCAAAATATATCGCTTGCGTCATGAGTCTGCATATAACTCTTTCTGTGCGCCTGCTCATTTCCCTTTGTGGTTGGTTCGGCTGTCCGTCATCTATTGGATGCTCCCAGTATGCATTCTCACAGTTAACAGCATTGTCGTACTCACTGTCATCGTTCATATGCTTAATAAAAATCCCCAGTTGTGTTTGTATATCTTCCCATAATTTACCCTGTGGTTACCAGAATGCACATATATCTATTTGGTCGCACACTATTATTCACCAACCTTTTCAATCATGTAATTATATTTGTCCGTTCCTTTCTGTTACAAGTAAATGTGCCGTATGCGGTACATATGAAGCACGCACCTGTCCGCCATGCTGCTACGCTTTAGTATGCTGCTGTTAGGCACACATATGTGCTGCCTTGTGCACACCGCCGCACGCGGCCTGTATGTATAGGAAATTACCGTAAAAAGGTCATCATCGCCTTGTATGCTCCTATGCTCCGCATACTCTTTCAATATTTTCGCTAAATCTGCCGCCATTCTTGTCGTAGCATAACAACATAGAAAAGATCATGCCTTGCAGAATGCGCGTACCCGTCTACATATGTTGCACAAGTGCATTACGTACAATGTGTACGTATCCAATATAATCCTCTATATGCAGTACTCATTAACATGGTTGCAACCTCAACAATATTTTACACTTGAACAGGGGGTATATATTCATCAATTCATATAACCTATATAGACATATACACATATATACTCCGTTGCCTTATATACAGAACGCGGAGCTGCACAACGAACCATAATAAATACGAGTAAAAAAAACAACATAAATAAGATAGAAATAAATGAAATTTAAAAAAAAAAAAAAAAAAAAAAGTGAACGAAAAACACGATACCTGTACAAATGCATAACAACATGCTTTACACAATAGAGAGAAGACACTCTCTATCTGTTGCACACGTGAACAATCTCGCCAAGTAGAGTAGAAACAGAAAAAAAAAAAACAAAGGAAACACGAGGACAATACTGGACAACGTCATAAATACCGCGCGTCACCGTTCTGCACTAAACGCCTGTCACACACTGTCTCTGTGTGCGTACACCTAAAACCCCAGTATAACAACATCAATTCTTCTTCCGTCGTTGCCTCGTCCTCGTAAACATTGTGCGCGCGTGTAAGAAGGAGGAGGATTGTCTCTCCGAGCAACGCATCGACCAACGCGGCCGGGTAAAGCAGATTGTCCGAGTAAGGAGTTTTCGAGGGAAGGATCCACAGAGAGGGGGATCGCAGACAGCGGGAGAGGAGAAGGAACACACATATTTTGTGGGAGGGAAGAACGAGGGCAGCAAGGCGGCAACGACGGCAGAAGAAATTGATGTTGTTGTTATACTGCGGGGTTTTAGGTGTACGCACATAGAGACAGTGTGTGTGAAGGCGTTTAGTGCAGACCGGTGTACAAAGGGAGTGGGGGTATATTCATGACGCGTTGTGTGTGTATGGTAGTGTAGTAGTACTTTTTTTTTTTTTTTCCTTCTACAACGGTGACAGGGTGACCGAGCAGGGGTGCCGGAGAAGCGTTGACGGAAGAGGCGTTGACGGAGAGGCGTTGACGGAAGAGGCGTTGACGGAGAGGCGTTGACGGAAGAGGCGTGGACGGAGACGGGGTGACGGAGAAGCGTTGACGGAGACGGGGTGACGGAGAAGCGTGGACGGAGACGGGGTGACGGAGAGGCGTTGACGGAGAGGCGTTCACGGAGACCGCGTGACTCAGACGGGGTGACGCAGCGAAGCGTTGACAGAGACGGGGTGACGGAAAAGTGTTGACGCAGACGGCAGCGAAGGCAAGGACGGCAAGCACGGCAAGCACGGCAAAGTACCTGCCACACCAGTAGCGGCGAAACCGGTGCCCACGAAGGAGGCGGTAACGAAGACGCGGTCCAGGCGCATGGCACCACCTGGTGGTGGTGGTGGTGGTGGTGGTAGTGGTGCTGCCGGAGCAGGCACCGCGAAGGGGAAGACCGTGAAGGCTGGAACAGGGCACGATTGTGATGCAGACAGAGCACGGCCGCGGCGGAGTAACGCCGTGTATGTGGTCACCCCACGTGATGTAAGTTAGATTACACAGCGAGAGCAGGGAGGGCGAGGAGACAGGAATCAATATAAGAGGAATTTATTCATAAGGGCAATTACACATATATGTCACGGTGCACATGTATTCATGTGTAACAATATAGATAACATGTGCCCATGGGCACTTTTTTAATGTCCATGTGCAACACGTAGGATAATGAATGGAACAAGTGGAAGACAGTGTTGGAAAATTTTAAGAAATATATGGATGAACACACAGACCTAGCGGCTGAGTATGGCGCAAACTGTGATAATAGTGGTTGGGATGATGTAAAGGACCAGCGGCATTATTACAAGGGACAAACAGTAGCAGATGTCGTACGGTGCAGAGTTATGAGTGTTGCATGGGCCTTCGCAAACAGGTGGGATATGCCTGGGACTAAGACGAACACGGACGACACGCAGCAAATGGACCCAGAAGAAGAGAATATGTTAAGGTGCGAAGTAGCAAATACATTTGGACACTTACTGCAGACCAAATATTGTCCGGGACAGAATCAGTGGATAAGAGGTGTAGAGTATTCACGCATAGCATTCACGAAAATGAACAGCTCCGGGCAAGATGGAGTGGGAGAAATCAAAGGTCCCGTTATAGACGGCACGTGTACTGCATGTGGGTACAAGGGCCATGAGAGGCTATCGAAAGCCATAAATTGGAACTTAGTAGACTGGTTATTGTACGACGCGAAAATATTGGACGCCATCCAGAATATAGAAGGCGGCACGCACTGTCATATGAAGTGGGCGGATTATACAAAAGACAAGATGAAGGAGCATGATACGACACGGGTGGACGAAGAGAAAATCAATGATATAAAAGAAGTGGAGAAGAACGTAGTGGACGCAGCAACAAAGGCAATTGAGAAGGTAAAGGCAGCAGTAGAAGAGGAAATTCAGCAAAAGCAAAACGAAGGTACGAATATGCATAGTACGAGCAGTAAAAATACGAATACGCCCGGCCCGTACGAATATGCATGCCGCCAACAACAACGCAACAGCCATAACACGCACACACGCGGAGGAACAGCAGCCCATGGTTGAGCCGAGGTGCGCGGCGGACACGACGGTAGCAGTCGAGATGACGGAGTGTAGACGACATGTGAAGATGGTGCGTGCGGATGGAACGTCGTGCACGACGGCCCCGGACGAGGAATGCAGCAGTAGCGGGGAAGAGATAACGGACGAGATGACGGCAACAACAAATAAAAGTTGTACTGCTATCATCTAGCCAAAGTTCACCGCGTACGCAGTCCACCGAGTTCACCTCGATCCATGCATCGACCCACTGCATCGACGCATGCAGCACCCATCCACCGAGTCGACCCTGCCGCTACCTGATCGAACCGTCCGCCCGTTCTGTCTACCACTTGTGTCCTTTTTTTGTTTTATCATCTTTTGTCCATCTTTCTGCCGTTCTCCTTTTTGCAGGCACGCAACCGGCAGAAGCAGGAGGAGGAGACCACAAAGGGCAGAAGCCGTCGTCACCATCACCAGAAGGAACATCAGGACCAGCAACATCTTCGGCACAACCACGATCAGATGGCTCAGCAGCAGAGAACGGGGTCACATCGGCACCAGTACCCATACCACAAGCCCCACCTGCGGCACCACCGCGCGCAGAGGGGACAGGTGGGAAACCTGGAAGTAAGAAGCCAGAGGAAGGTGAGTTAGACTGCGAAAACGAGGATTCCAGTGGTGTGCCTGCAGGAACAGAAACCCATGCCGGGTCTAGTGTAAGCGTTTCCACGGGTCGTCATGCTATGCCAGGACAACTTCCCTGTAGTGAGTTGCAGAAATTACTACGCCAACAGGATATAACGCGTTCCCCTCCTGCTGTCATAGGTGCAGCGTCCCCGGAACCTCGCCCTGCTGGTAATGCTCTGCGCCGTGCACACTGGTACCCAATACTGGTCCTCACAATGCGCTTATGCATACTCCCAGGAATGGCCCTGGAGGGGCCAAAGCAAAAAAAAAAAAAAAGAAAAAACATTTCCGTAGAGAGGCAGACACAACACCGACAGAGGGCGCGAGAGAAACCAAACGTCGAATGAGAATGAGCGGCAGCCCCGCGTCCGGTAGCGGCCGGTAGAGGTACACGTCGACAGAGATACACCCACTGTGTGTGTTGTCTGTGTTGTGTGTGGGAGACAGAGAGAGTCTTGTGCCGGATGGCACCGTCCCCAGTTCATGAACCATCGTACCAACCGTGTGGTCAACCATAACGTTCCACCGCACACAAAACTTAAGTTTCATCACATCCCCTACTGCTTCATTTGACATTATAGGTAAGGATGGTGCAAATGGTCCAGGCTCGTCAGGATCCCCATCTGCACCCGCAGAAGCAGCACCGACAGCATCAGAACAAGTCCCAGCAGCATCGGACCCAACATCATCATCAACAGGAACAGAAACAACATCAAACGCAACACCAGGGGCCGGTAACACCGTGCCCGCCGTCGATGGCGGTAACGAGGACCCCCCTCCTCTCAATCCACCCAAACCAAAACCGAACCCGAACCCAGATCAATCGGGTAGTAGTGGTGGCGAAGGAAAAGGAGGTGGTGATGTGGCGGATGGCGTTTCTGGTGGGGAAGGAAAAGAAGGTGGTGATGGTACTACCCAAGGCAGTGGAGGAGGTCAATCCTCTGGTACTGGTTCTACTGGTCCCCAAAACCCTGGTTCCTCAGGACCCGGATCCGACCCTTCCACGCAACCCAATAACGCACAGGGTACGGGTTCTCAGCCTACAGGTCCAAATGGTGGCTTTGGACTATCCTTGGACCGTGCACCAGCCGTAGGTACCATAGGAGACGGATATGCACCAGCGACTCCCACAGAAAACACATCGGGCCATGGGGATATGAACTCGGGTGGCGGTCCTGATGCACCCGACCTAACCGGCACCGTCCTGACCGCCACTACTCCCATCCTGTTTTTTCTCACTTCCGTCATCGTCGCCCATCTTGGTTATTCCCTTTGGAAAGTAAGTACAGCCACAAGGCGCGCACACACACACACCACGCACGCACAAATATAACCGAGTGGAAAAATGGAACAACAACCATTGTCCTTCGCCTTTTCCTGCCACAGGCCTTACTTGTATGTTCCCAAAAGCAACTC